GCTAAATATTTCAAAGAAATTTCTTTTTAGATTAGGTAAGTTGTGTATCCACTTTATCCTTATTGCTTATAAGCCTCTTTAAAATTTTATATCTTTCATGTTTATTATATCACTTAGTATATATAATTTCTATAATGAATAAAAAATATTGATATCAAGTTTTTTTATCAAATTTATTTCCTAATCTAAACATAAGATAGGTGTTAGTAAGCTCTATTGATGGGGAATTTTTAGTAAAAACATTTCATACATACACAGACAAGAAAAATGAAAACATTCCAGTTGGATTGAGTTTGCTATGATTCTGGTTACAGAAAGGCAGATGAATTTAAAAAAATAACTTTTCTCCCCTCAGCTAGTGGATAGTTTTAATTTGGTCCACATAAGCCAAAGTTAAAAACATCGATAACTTCTTGATCCTTAAATAGTAAATGATAACATCCAGCCTGTAGCATGTGTTTTAGAATATAAAAACAATTGCTCCTCTAAACAAAGCAATAAAATTCATTCATTTACTAAAAATTTTAATTTTGATGTAAATTATATATCTAAATTGGATATTTTAAAGGGCAGTTGAGCTTACTTATAGATTATGAATAACTTAATAAATAAATCATTTTTAAACAGTAAAAATTGGATCAACCAAATCATGATTACACCATTAACATTTTCTTACCCAGCCTTCAAATTATACGACAAAACTTTACTAATTCAAGACGTATATAGAATTACTTATTCACAAGCAAATCCTTATCCAGTTAGCTTACAATTGACGTGTGTATAGATCTTTATGTAAAATGCTGGCAGCAAAAGGAAATAAATAATACAAAATTAAAAATTAATAAACTATCCGCAACTATCTTTGATGTCATTTGCTGTCATTTAATAATCCTAACTTTAGTAGATAAATCCTCTATATCCTTAAGGATTCAACTTAATAAGCTGGAAATGTTTTGTGACAATGGTTTTTGCTAAATTACTATCATAATCTTTGTTTCAGTATTTGCTAAATTGATAAATACTTCTACTCAATACAATCTATCATCTAAATCATAAAACCAGATTTTTATTGTATTCAATTCATATTTTTGTAAGAGATCTATTTAAATAGACTATCCTTTGTAACACCATACAAAACCAAATTCTAATAACAATTAATAAATTGTGTCTCTTAAGAAGACTCCATCATTATTTTCAGCAGTTAATTTTTATTTTTTGATGATATTAAACTTCCACTATTTGAAGTTAGTACATTTTGATAATTTCCTCTTATAATTGTTTTTATGATATTAGAATTTTCGTTCTATCAATGAGTTAATTTAATATAGCTGAAAGTGAAAAAGATAGAAAAGATTAAAGCAAACTTTTTCAACATAATGGCTTAATCAAACTTTATTATTATTAATGAATTTAACATATAAAATTTGATTATTTGTATATATACTCAAAATTGAATCTAATAACAGCCAAAAATACTGAGATGGAACAGATTTAACCTGTTTTTACATCTAATTTATTAAAATTCTGTATGATAAATCGATATTGTTCTTGTGCATATAATTAATAAAATAGTAAGCATAAGCCTAATAGTGAAGCTTTAAAAAAATATTTGTTTTTAAATAGCTCATGTATCCACTTTTCAATTTTTATCTAATTTCCTTGTTAATTGTACAATCCGCCTCCACTACTCCACTATTTGTATGTTCACCTTATACTTATATAATATTTACATTTATTTATATTCTTTCTCTCCATGCTAGCTATACATCATAGTCCATCCTCTTACCATTCATGTTGTATTCACTATAAAAACCTTTTTATCATTATATTCTTCATCTTTTTAAAATTCCCTTTTAATTTTAAATTATTAACATTTATTTGTATTCCTTCCTTTATACATTGCATATCATAATATCCCATCTACCTAACATTCTACAATTTGCAAGACTTTTCTTTCACTATAGTAACCTTCATCAAGTTAGATCTATTTACCTTACTTATAATCATCTTTGTTGTATAAATCACCACCAAATAATTTTTAAAATTTATACATCTTCGCACCTTAACAATTGTAATTCCATTTTCCAATTTTAAACTATTTATAATGTTAATTTTCAATAACTTTCTTCCCATAGT